CAACATACACCTTCAGGGCACGAGTGAAACAGAAACAATGAAAATTTATTTGAAGCGGTTGGATATTGTACTTGCCCGTGCATACAAGCAGTGTGTGCCAGATACCCGCAGGTGCTCCCCACCTGGACAGAGCCCCAGGGACCCACCTAGCCCTGCCCTCGAGCTTTGGTGCCAGGCAAGGACAATGAATGGAGGCCCAGCCTGCGAGATGCACTGTGGTGCTTGTGCGAGGGTAGGGTGGGCAGTGGGAGAGGCTCAAGGGTGCCAGGAAGCTGTGAGGCTGACGTCCCCAGGCCAGGCCATTGAAGGAGCACCAGATCCAGAGGAGAGGTGAGAGAAGAGGTGGCCCTGGGCCTGGGGCCCTCGAGGGCTTGAACAAGATGGAGAGCACAGGAGGGTGTTCCAGAGGAGGGGCTGAGAGCCCCAGAGAAGCTGCCACCTCAGTGGTGCCAGAATGCCAGCACTCTGCATCCTCAGCCCTCTGCTGCGACCAGAGTGACTCAAACATGACACTGCGTGGCAGGTCCCTGCCCTCTTTCCCAGGGGCTGATCTGCCCTGGACTGGGGAGTCCTGTGCTGAATCAGGGTGAGCACTAGCTGTACTGAAATGATTACACTGAGCCACAAAAACTGCTCCGATGTGGCTGCTTGACAACATAAAGGGGCGATTTTGTATGGCTTAGACCTAATAGGGACAAGGAGCAGCAAAGGCCGCCCAGCTAGAGGCTCTGGCGACCAGCACGACGAGCACGGACTCAACCCCCACAGGGCAGGAACAGGAGCATCACCAACAGGTCAGCGGTGCATGAAAACAGTGGGAGGCCACCGCTGCCTGCCTCAGCCGTCCCTGGCCTGGGAGGTGGCTCAGGATGAGCCCAGGGACTGCCACCGGGACAGCAGCAGCTGATGTGTCTGTCCCGTGGGGATGCCTGTGCTGTGAGGGCAGGGACGCCCGCTGCCACTTCTGTAGCTCAGACTCGCAGGCCCCTGGCACAGTGTGGCAGGGGTGCATTGCATGTCAGAACTGGGGTGTGATGAAGATTAGACTGCCTCGAAGACTTCCCCAGCGCTCTGCCAAACATCCCACCAGCCAGGGCAGCCCCTGCAGGGTAGAAACCAGAGCATTCAGAGTGCTCCATGCCCTGCACCTCAGCGATTTAGTGTCTAGGAGTTGAAACGGCAGATTGTCAGATGACACCATCCATACCTCCATCATCAGCGGAAATTATGCAGAAACTAGAACAGATAAGGGAATTGGCAAGGTGGTGGGATATAAGATCAATAAGTTAAAATCAATCATATTCTTGCAAGAAAGAAATGGAAATGGAAAATGATCAAAACAGGTGTGCAGAGGCATCAAGAAGCAGGAAATGGGCCGGGGATTTAGCTCAGTGGTTCTGCTGTCTGCCTCGCAGGTGCAACAACCTCAATTCAATCCCTGGTACCAAAAAAAAAAAAAAAGAAGCAGGAAATATTTAGGGAGCTCTGAGAAAACACAGCCAGATCTGAGGACCAAGGCAGAGCTGGGCTCCAAGATGGCAAGACGATGGATGGCTTGGCACTGAAGTGTCCCCAGGGGCCAGCAGATGGGCTCTGGGGAACAACTGGACTGCAAGGGGCCACCAGGGCTGGGTCTTGAGGAGGGCACCGATGGGAGGTGCCCAGCCCAGGTGGCCTGGTGAGCAGGGGCCGTTCTGAGAAGTCCTCAGGGCAGGAGGTGTGGCATTGGGGGTCAATTTTGTGAACACACTTTTCTGCTTTTTTTTTTTTGGTAACAGGAATTGAACTTGGGTCCTGGCCCCACACTTTTCTGCTTTTAGCAGTGAATTGAGTGGCATATAAAGGGCCACAAATCCTGTTACAAACAACCAACTAACAATTTTTGTGAGTGTATGGTCCTGGGGGATGGAACCCAGGGCCTCGTGCATTCTAGACAAGTATTGTACTATTGAGCTACATCTCCAGTCCTTTCAAAATTTTATTTTGAAACAAGTGCTCACTAAGTTACCCAGGTTGGCCTTGAACTTGTGACCTTCCTGCCTTGGCCTCTCAAGCATCTGGGCTTACAGGTGTGTGTCTCAGGGCAGATCCCATCCTCCAGGGCCTCAGTTTCCCTTCTTGTACACTAGTGTGATCCAGGTGCCAGGTGCTGTCCATCCCAGGACCTCCCAGCTTCCTGCCATGCTGAGTCTGATGAGGAAGGGCCAGCCTAGCTGGGACTTGGGACAGTTGGGGCCACTGTGGGGATGTCACTGCTGCCTGCGGCCCGGCTGGCAGGGGTTAACACCCTGGCCACCCAGGACCGGGCTCCACAAGGAATCACCTCCCTGCCCCTGGGGCTGGTTTCTTCGGAGACACAGCAGTCAGAGTTGTCGCCAAGTAGAACCAGCTGGCGCAGTCCCCGGGGTCAAGTGCCAAGGAAGCAGCCAGGCAGGGAGTCAGGCAAGTGGCCTGGTGGTAGCAGGTGCAGGGCACCTGGGCCTGCTCCCAGGTAGTTTGGGACACCAGGAGGGATGTGTCCCTCAGCCCAGGCTGGGCAATGCATCACCGCCCTCTGCTCTTACCTGAGAAAGGGCAGACAGGTGTTCAGGACCTGAGGGCAGGCCACCTGCCCAGAGTGAGCCCTGCTACCCACCCTGGGGTCTCAGTGCCCACCTCAGGGACACCCAGCCCTCTCCATCTGGGCCACATGGCTGACACCTGCTGCTCAGCTTCCTCAGCCTGCACCCCACGTCTGTACACCACCAGCTGTTCCCAGGCCCACATCTCTCACTGCAGGACTGGGGCCCTAGCCACAAACAAGGGGACAAACCCTGCCGGGCCACGCAGGGCCACCAGGCAGGATGGACTCCAGCCGCCACCAGGTCAGCTTCAGGAGTCAGGGTGCCTGGGCTCAAATCTGCCTTGGGCCTCTGAGGCTCCTGCCCACTGCACTAGGGAGGTACATGTCCCTGCGCTGGTAGCTGTGCAGCTGGTCCCTGTCCAGCGCAAGGGCCTCCCCTCTTCTGCCCAGGAACCCAGAGCCACTGAGCAGGAGGATCAGAGACGACAGAGATGCCTCGGAGGAGACAGGGCCAAGAGGAGGCTCTGGGAGGCCACGTGGGTGGCTGTGACTGTGGCTGGGCCCCAGACCACTCCCGGTGGTGCAGCAGGGGAAGCCTGGGGCTTGTAGGACAAACAGGAGCAGAGAGGTCCTTGCTTGGGGCTCCCCACTGCTCCCACAGCCCCACCTTCCTCAGCATGGCAGCCAGCCAGGCGCCTGAGCCACTCTCTCCTTAGCTAGACCTGCAGACCAAACTGCCCTCATGGGGGCCAACTGCTCCCCACCCAGGAGGAACAGGCAGTGAGGCTGTGGCCCTAAGGCTCCCCCTGGAGGACTCTGGCCAAGGTGGAGTGAGCAGCATGCTGTGGATGAGGGGCAGGGGCTGGGTCACCATCCCTACAGCCAGCCTTCACAGCCACTGTGAGAGTGGGCAGCACTTGCAGCAGAGCCAAGCCCATCATGGCCAGCAGACCCCAGCAGGGACACCCCTCCAACACACCAGGCCCACAATGTGGCCATCAGCATGACTGACCATGGCCAGGCCTGGAAGGGCACCTGGACAGCTCGCCCTCCCCTGCTGTACACCACCCCTTCCTGAGAGTCTGCAGAGACAGCTACCAGAAGGCCCCGGGAGGGTTCAGGGGCTGCTGGATGGGGCCTGGTATGGAAGGTACCCTGTGAGGAAGGTACCCACAAGGCCCCAGCTCTGCCTGCACAGTCACTGTACCTGGTTCTCTGGGTGCCACCCCTCCTACAGCCCCCAACTGGACAGGTCCAGGGTCACACTGGGTCCTGTGAGCACCCTTGGGTGCACCAGCAGTTTTCAAATACGGATGGGCTTGCAGTCCTTCCTTCCACCTGCCCAAGGTCCTCCGTGGGTTCGGCTGGCACAGCTGGATGCCCCAGTGGGTTCCCTTCCAAGCCTGCTCCATGCTCAGCCTCTGTGGCCTGCAAGCTCCTCCACACGTCTTCTGTGAGCCGCATGAGTACCATCCTCCCAGGCCCAGTGTGGGATCCCAGTGCCACCCCAGAGCTCCTGAAGTTGTCCCCAGGGCTCCCACAGTGACAGTGGGGCCAGGCCTGGGCTTTCAGCTATGCTGTCCTCACTGGCCCTGGTCACTCACCTGGCAGGCATGCAGTGGTCCAGGATGGGGTGGCTGCATATTCCTACCTAGTACCATGGAGGGCCCTGAGTCAGGTAAGCACCATCTCAAAGGAAGGTGTGGGTCTTGGTGACCTAGCTGGTGGTGGGGGCAGCAGTCACCAGTCACCACTGTGCTGCCTGGCACAGCTCTGGGGACAGGGAAGACAGAGCTCAGCCTTGGAGTCCAGCCAAGAGCGAGCAGGATGTCCACCAGCTCCACCTTCTGCTGTAGGACTGACCTTAGGCCATGAAGAGCCAGCAGGACACAGGCCAGCCACTTACAGACCACAGACACATGCTCGGTGACCACACGGAAGTGGCTCCAGGACAGATGCCGCCACAGGTCAGGATGAACAGCTTTCTTCTCCCTTCGACGCCATTCTCGGCTTCACTCTGTTGCCATCTACACAGGTGAGCGTATGCATGCCGGCAGGTCCTTGGGGTCAGCCTGGGCCCTGCCCATGGTGCTGGGCCCAACTGTTTGCACCAGTGAGCTGTGGCTGCTCCTTCTAGCTCCCTTCTCCCAGATCCAACCTAGAAACCAACGCACCAGGACCTCGACAGCTCTTCGTGAAGCGACTTTAAGCAGCTTCCTAAAGCTCTTTGGTGGCTGTTGGAGGGTAGGGTGCCAGGCACCCAAGCCCAGTCCACCACCAGGGGACACCAACACTCTAGGCCTGTGATCCCAACGGGTCCACATTACCAGGTCAACCTCACTCCCACAGCCACCAGGCCCGACACCCAGACCAGGGCCCCTTCCTGCACCTTTCTGACTGTACCCCAACTCCAAATAAAAAGCAACAGCACTCAAAGAACAGGGAGACCAAAATGTTTAAGTTATTAAATCAAATATACAGAGTGATTCATTTAATATGTACATATGTACAGAAATGCACTTTCACGAGGGGCAGCCAGGGCTGGCACGGGGCGGAGCCTGGTGCCCACAGCAAACGCTGACAGTTGCGAGGGGTCTGTGTGAAGGCACTTGTCACAAGCTTCGGTTCTGCCACCGTCCCAGGGGGGACACGTGGTGGGGGAAGGGCACTTTTGAAAGCAGAGCTGAGCGGTCTCTGGAGAGGTCTGGGCAGAAGCACGGACAGCAGGCTGGGCTGGCACCACCTTGGGCTGCACCAGCGACCTGGGCCACAGCAGCAACCAGGGTCACACTGACCGCTGAGATCCTACTTCTAGCCACGGGTCCCAAGACACCATGGGCCACACTGTAGTCAGCCACGGGTCCCACTGACAGCCAGGCCAGGCTGACAACCGCAGGTCCCACTGACAGCCACGGGCCCCATGAGGGCCCCGGGCCATGCCAATAGCCACAGGTCTCATGGGCTCTTTGGTCTGGAGCCACAGAGAAACCAAGTGAGGAATAAAAAAGAAGATTCTGTAAACAGTGCACGACCTTTGGAAACAAAGGCCACACGATTTGGTGAGAACACAAACACGCTCCGCTCTGGCCTGCACACAGCACGTGCGACACACTGAAACTTTACAAAAATAGCAACTATCCGAGAATACTCTGTTGTTTGCTGCCTAACAGGTACTGAATAATTTATACAAGGCTAAAGAAACATAGAAAATAAACATTTGTTTTTTGTTTTTGGTGCTTTTTTTACACAAAATAAAGAAACTATGCACATGGTCTGGGCCTCCTGTGGTCTGGCAGGCGGTGCAGCCCTACTCCTTGCTGGCGTAGTGTGTGTCCTTGACACTCCTGACTGCACGGTTGTCCACCTTGGGGCCCAAGGCCCAGCGAGCTGGTCTCCCTGGGGAGCAGCCTGGGTCTTTGGTGCATTTGTGCGAGAGGAACTTCTCTGCCTCTGGGGAGTCCTCCTCTGCGCGGCCTGACTCATCCTCCTCATCCTCTCCGCTGCCCCCAGGGCCGACTGGCCCAGGCAGCGCCTCACCTGCTCTGCATGGTGGCGGTGTGAAGTTCTTACACTGGTACAGCACATCCTTGTGGGCCCCGCCGCCTGGGCCGCCGCCTGGGCCGCCACCGGCCAGCCGCTCGATGGGATTGCGTATGGGGTTGAGCGGGGCCCACTGGTTGTTGGTGCTCTCATCTTGGGGCAGGCGGCTCCTCTCCCGCTCTTTCCTGCGCTTCCGGGTCCACCACACACAGATGACCACACAGGCCAACCACAGCATGCTGAACAGGCCACACAGCACCGGCACCAGCAAGCCTGGTAGAGGGCACACGGGTGGGAGGCCACTCCAGTCTCAACATCCCTCTGGGGCCTGGCTGGAGGGGTCCCAGGCCAGGTGAGCTGAGCCCACCCCACTGCTGGGCAGGTCCCCACAAGCCCCGGACTCCGGGGAGCCCCTGCCACCTCACTCACCTTCGGAAGAGCCTCCCATGACCACAGTCTCCACCTTGACCTCAGTGATGGCCAGCAGCAGCGAGCTGTTACCCCGCTGGGTGACGGCAGCCACAATGGCGTGGGCTGCACTCTGGATCAGGCTGCTGTCAGGCAGGTCCCTCGCAGGGCTGAAGGACTGCACCAGAGGCCCGGGCTGTGGGCCCAGTCCAAGGGCACCCTGCCCACAACCCAGCCCAACCCAGCTCCCAGCCAGCTCTTCTGAAGCAGGGACAAGGGCACAAAGCATCCAGCTTGGGGCTAGGAAAGCTGGGCCCAAAGCTGGGGGCCTCGCGGGAATGTGCAGCTGGGACACACCCACTGGTAGATCTGGGTGGCGTGGCCCGTCCCTGCCCTTTCCAATGACCCCTCACTGGCCCTTCTCAGTCTGCTCCCCGCCCCACCAGACCCCAGACTTCACAGCTGCAAACAGCAACACTGCCGGTGCTCCCCGTCCGTGTGCCCCATGGGTGCGCGTGCTCTGACTCACACTGGCCCTCTCCCTTCCGTCCACTGCCAAGCACCCGGGCCACCTGAAGCTGAAGGCGGCACCCCACGTGAAGGCAGTACGCCTGCCCAGGGGCCCCGACCCGGTTCTCACGGCTGAGCAGGGGTCCCGGCTGGCCCTGTACACAGCCTCTGGAACCCAGCACCTGGCCCATCAGGTTGCCCAGCCCCACCTCTGCAGCCCGAGCACCCTCCAGGCCACACAGCCAAGCCTGCTGTGGGCCTCTGCTCCAGATGCATCCCTCAGAGGCTGACCCCATGGCTACTAATGCCAACTGGCCCCACTAGCCTTAGATGTCCTGGCACTCTGTCCTCACGCCCTCCAACCTCTGCCCTCTGGTTCCCACCTAGCTGCTCAAGCGCCTAGGGACACAGTGTCCAGCCAGCCTCAGTCCCTGTGCCCTATCCTCCTGCCCTCTGACACGTCCCCCTCAGGCCTCCAGCCCATCGCAGGACACCCGGGTGTCCACAGTGGACCCCTGCCCACACTCACTATGGCCACTTCCACAGCGCTGGCCCCTGAGGACACCCGGTCACAGAGCAGCAGGAGCAGACGTTCTCGGGCCACGGCCCTAGTGGCAGGCAGGGAGCGGATCCCAGAGCAGATGGCGCCTACAGTGGTGCCCTGGGCAGATGGATGGCACATGAGCAGGTGAGGCCAACAGCTGAGCCACCCGCTCCATTCCCACGGCTAGCCAGAGGCTGGGGCGGTCGTACCCGCATGCATGCCGGGAGCAGGGCAGAGATAAGGGATGACATCTGCCCCGCCCTGTCTCAGTGAAGGAGCTGGGGAAGGGATGAGAGGGTGAGGGCCAGGGAAGCCAAGCCTGGATCGCAAGGCTGGGACCTTGGCCATCACCCCAGAGTGGGGCACCACGGCCACCCCACTGTGTCTACACCAGGGGCAGCAGGACACGAACTCCCACCCGGCATGCCCAACCAGGACCCAGGGTCTGGCACCAGGCCCACATGCACACCTGGGGTACTTGGTCACGGTCAAAGCGCAGGGTGAGGCGTGCGCAGTTGTTGTCCAGGTGGCCAGAGCGAGGCTGGCAGAGGGTGCTGGGCACCAGGGGCTCCTCAGCACCACACTCACCCCAGGTCTCACAGGGCGGCTGCAAGCACTGGCCCGGGGCCTTCTCCCAGCACTGCTGCCCTGGTGGACACTGGGCGCTCAGGGCAGTAGGCTGGCCAGACAGCAGACAGGGCTTCCAGCCACACCATACCTGGACCAAGAACACAAGGAGGGTCAGCAACACAGGGCAAGGACATCAAGGGGCACAGGCAGCGAACCAAGGCCTGGCCCTGCCCCCACAAGCAGGGCCTAGGAGGAGTGGGCTGAGCTCCACAATGGGAAGGGCATTCTATAGACAAGAGGGAGCTGGTGGTGCCCAAGCCAAGCCTCAGTTTCTCCAACCCAGAGAGGAGGGGCAGCCTGACTATGCCTGAGGCCCCTTTCAGTCCATTCCGTCCTCCCAGGACGTCTTGGGGGGAACTACCAAGGCCCTGGCCCACCCTACCCTGACACAGGCCTCCTGATGTCTCAGAGCCAGCCCCAGGATTAAGAACGTGCAGATCAGCGTCAGTCGACCGGCCGAGTGGGGTTCTTGCTCAGGCCCTACCTTGCTGCAGTCCCGGTGGCCATCTAGGCAGCGGCAGCTGTTGCAGTCCTCCAACCAGGAGCTGCCATGTGGGAACGACATCCCCCGGGCCCAGCAGGACCTCCTGAGCCAGATAACTGTGGGGGCAAGAGGAGGGGTCAGAATGGTTCCCAGTTCTGGTGGCCAGGACTGCCCCACACCTTGCCCAGCACCATCCTTGCTGCCCTACCATCCTGGCAGCGGGGGCCAGTTAGGCCAGGTGGGCAGCTGCAGCGGTAACCGTCGATCTCGTCCACACACGTGGCCCCGTAGGCACAGGGCGAAGACTGGCACTCATCCATGTCTATAGGGAGAGCCTGTGCTCAGCTCCCTGCATGGGCCGGCCCAGGCTGGTGAGGGGAAGCTGGAGCTTACATACCTCAGGTCACTGGGTGCTGCACCCACTCAGCCACCAGCCCGCAGGGCCTGCAATCACCTGCCTGCAGGGCCTGGGCTGGGCTGGGTGCTACACTGTCACTCACCAGCACAAAGCCTTCCAGACCCTGCAGGCCTTGCCCTCCCCACCTGCCCCTGTAGTAGGAGGTACATGCAGGTCTGTGGAGTCCACCCCTTCCCAGGGTGCCCCCTTTCCAGAGCTGAGACCAGTGGACCACAGCCTCACAGCATGGAAGACTGACATCAAGCTGCACCCCCTGTTGCTGGTGCCCTCCTCCTCTTAGGACCTCTGATGCACTCCACCATGGAACCCCACCTTGCCCCAGGGGCCCTGCAGGACACAGGTATGTGGTGCAGGGAAGCAGGATGTACTGTCCTGCCCCCAGGCTGAGGTCCCCTAGTGGCCAAGGGCTCCCAGGGCCCACCCCCATAGCACCCCACTGTCCCCAAGGCCACAGGCTGCTCACTGATGCGGCAGTCAGGCCCTGCAAAGCCGGGAGCACATTCACAGCGAAACCAGTTCACGCCATCCACACAGATGCCACCATTGTAGCTGCAGGGAGAGGGTGGGAATCAGGGGTCCTGCCACAATGCCCCCCACCCCACCAGCCTCCTAGGGCACCACTCACCAGGGCAAAGGGTTGCAGTCGTTCGTGTCTGGATTGGAGGGAAAAGAGGGGCAGTTGGCCCAGTACCTACCTGCATAGCACCCTCTGTGCCAGGCTGGGGTGCCCCGGGCTTGTGGGAGCACAGACACTGCACTGTCCAGGCAGTGGACAGGGGAGTGCAGGAAGGCTCGGGTCCCCAGACAGGGTCTCCAGTGAGGGGGCTTCACTGGAAGGGAGGAGCTACAACTCAGCAGAAGCCCGGGGGAAAGAGGGGCACCATAGGTCTTAGGGTGTGAGCCAGCTGGTGGGCTAGAGGGAGTGGTCCTGGGGCGGGGCTGGGGTCCAGCTGGTGTCCACCCCCCAACACAGGGCCCGGCTCACTATGTGTGCAGGTGCGGCCCTCCCAGCCATCCCGGCAGATGCAGGAGAAGGAGTCACCGCTGCCCACACAGGTGCCCCCATTCATGCAGGGGTTGGAGAGGCAGCTGCTGTTCTCGGCTGCAGGAGGGAGAAGGGGCTGCTCACCCACCCAGCCAACCCGGCTCAGAGGGGACAGGGGAGGGAACAGGCACAGCACAGGCGCCTCACCAATGGTGCAGGTGCTGCCCTTCCAGCCGGGCAGGCAGGCGCAGCGGAAAGTATCCCCACTGTCGTAGCAGGTCCCGCCGTTACTGCAGGTGTAGGCGTCGCACTGGAACTCACCTGCAGCCACATGGCGCTCAGCGGGGACCCGGTACACCCGACCGCCCTTCCGCACACAGGAGCCCAAGGACTCACGTGAGTGGCAGGTCTTGCCCTTCCAGCCGTCGTCACATGCACAGTAGAAGTCGCCAACTAGGTCGTGGCAGTGGCCGCGGCTGTGGCAGGGGTCGGGGAGGCAGTCGTTGGAATCTGGGGGCGAGGGCGCCGGTCAGTGGGGTCACTGGCGCCCGGGGAGGAACAGAAGAGCCTGGCCTGGGCCCACCCCCGAGGTGGCCGTGCGCTCCGGCCAGGCCCATCTCGGGGCAGGGTGCCCACACTCACTAGTGTCGCAGAGCTCGCCCTCCCAGCCGCTGGGGCAGAAGCAGCGGAAGGCGCCCACTGCGTCAATGCACGTCCCCCCATTGTGGCAGGGCTGGCCCAGGCAGTCGTCGATGTCTGCGGGACAGCGCAGGGGCGGGTCCATGAGCAAAGAGTGGGCCGCGTCGTCCCCGCCCCTGAGCAGAACGCAACTCACTCTCGTGGCAGTAGGTGCCCGTGAAGCCACTGTCACAGACGCAGGAGAAGTTGCCCCCGGGCTGGCTGACACAGTCCCCATGGGGGCCGCACACACCGGGGGGCATCACGCTGGGCCCCCGGGGCCCCCCCTCAACGCCGCAGCTGTCGATCACTGTGGTGGACAGATGGAGGGGTCAGGCCCGCCCTGTCAGCCCCCAGGCCTGCCCCCGCCCCCGGCTCACACCCCACCTCTGCAGGCTCCGCCAGGGCACAGCGCCCGGGGCACAGAGCAGTTTTTGCCACTGAAGTCCTCGGGGCAGGCGCAGTAGTAGTCACCCTCCAGGTTGTAGCAGCGCGCACCGTTCAGGCAGGGGCTTGGCTCACAGAAGTCCGCGGCCACCTGCGGCCGGGACAGGGGCATGTCCATGAGAGCCCAGCCCCTTGCTAGGGACAGAGTGGCCTCTGTCCACACGAAGTAGGGCCCTAGGCATCCCTGAGGCTGGGTCACCACTCTGCCCAGACTATGAGCCCCTCGGCCCTAGGCCACAGTGCCAATGACGACACGCAGCCCCCACCCAACCAGGCCTGTCCAGGCCCCATCAGCTGGACGGAAGCACCTGTGGCTCCCCCTCGACGCCATGGAGGCCGTTTCCTCTGCCTCCCACGGGTGCATCCGGCCTGGGCTCCTCCCACGGGCAGGAAGGCCAGCTTCTGACCCACACTGCCAGGCTGTGTCAGGGCTCAGACAGGGTCCTGCCTGGAGCCAGCCATGCTCGCTGGACCCAAGACTGGGCCTCTGCTGGGGACCCCAGGAAGCTGGCTGGTCAGGAGCCACACTCTGTACAAAACCCAGCCCGGAATCACAGGTGGTCGGGGTGAGGGGGGCCAGGGAGCAGGGAGGAAGCAGGGGATGGTGCGAAGAGGGAGGGCACAGTCCCAGGGGCGATGCTCACTGCTGCTGTGGGCCCACTGGCCACCCCCTCAAGCCATCGGGCACCCATGCTGCACAGGGCCCTGTACGTCCATCTGAACCACGGCGGGGCTCAGTGTGGCCTTGGTGACCCTGTGGACCCCAGAGACACCTCCCACCGCAGCCCCTCTGGTGGGATGGCAGCAGCGGGCCTCACCTCGCAGAGCGGTCCTGAGAGGCCCCTGGGGCAGTGGCAGCGGAAGCCATTGGCCAGGTCCTCGCAGATGCCACCCCCATGGCAGGGGCTGCTGGCACACTCGCCACGTGCCAGCTCGCAGTGCCGGCCTCCGAAGCCCCATGGGCACATGCACTGGTACCCGTTGACCAGGTCCTGTGAGGCACAGGGCCATGAGCCTCCCACCCTGCCAGCCCCAATCCCACACTCCTCCCGGGCTCAGACGGGCAGGTGGCAGCTGGCCTTACCTTGCAGGTGCCACCATGCTGACACTGCCCATGACAGTCGTTGATGTCTGTGGAGAGGGCACAGGGTAGGTCAGGCAGGGGTCTCCCGCACTACCCTGGCCCCTCCTCCCCCGCCTACGCGTCCCACCCGTACTGACTGATGTGGCAGTTGGCGCCCTTCCAGCCCGGGAGGCAATCACAGTAATAGCTGCCAATCAGGTTTTTGCAAGAAAAAGCATTAAGGCACGGCTTCCTGTCACACTCATTGGCGTCTGTGGACGAGACAAGGCGGCTATGGGCTTGGGGCCCGCCCTGTGCACCCAGCACCTGCAGCCCAGCAGCAGCCACAGCCACAGCCACATGCACAGCTCCCGGACCATGCACCCACACCCTGGAGCCCTTACCCAGCTGGCACGTGGCCCCCACCCACTGCTTGGGGCAGATGCACTCGAACCCATCCACCTGGTCCACACAGGTGCCACCTGCTGCACACGGGTTCGAGGCGCACTCGTCGATGTCTACAGGGAGAGGACGGAGGCCAGGGCATGGCATGTGGTCCCCAGGAGGCCAAGTCCCCCATGTGCCCTGGCCTTCCTGCCACTCATCCCCTGGCCACAGTGTCTACAGCCATGAGTGGGCACCACCACTGTGCCACAGGCCCCAGAGCTCTGCCTTCTCCCAGGCCCCGTGGTCGCCAGGCTGCACTGGCCGTAGACAGGCAGGCACTCACCAAGTGCACAGGTAGGCCCACTCCAGCCTGGTGGGCAATGACATTCGAAGCCAGACGGCACCTCATGGCAGGAGCCCCCGTTGGCACATGGGTTGGAAGCACAGGCATGTTCAGCTGCAAAACCAGAGTGAGGTGGCGGGAGTGGCACCCCCCCCAGGGTTCCTCCCCCGGCCCACGTGGCTCAGGAGGGCGCAGTGACCTGCCCACTCACCCCGCTCACAGTTCTTGCCCGAGTAGCCATCAGGACAGGCACAGCGGTACTGGTCAGGCTCGGCGTTGATGCACGTGCCCCCATTGATGCAGGGGTGGTGGCTGCCGCAGTAATTCAGGTCTGCAGACGGAGTGGGACTCTCAGGGGACAGGCCCCGTGAGACCTCCTGCGCTGCAGGCCAGGCTCACCCGCCCGGCCACCCCGCTACCTTTGTCACACAGCAGGCCGCCCCAGTTAGTCTCACAGTCGCAGTGCCAGGGCTCCACGCAGCTGCCGTGCACACAGCCAGGGTAGGGGACACACTCGTCACAGAGCCTTCCCTGCCAGCCGTAGCTGCACCTGGGAGAGGCCAAAGGCAAGGCTGAGAGCTATCCAGCCAGGCAGGAGTCACAGCCCGCCCGCCGCCAGCCCCACGGTCACAGGCACTCCCGGGTGCGGGCGGACTGGGTCAGCCCCAGCTGTCCCGTCACTCCTCCCTGAGCTATTCTGGGCCTCACCCGAGCCAGTCCCTGAGAGCAGGCGCCAGGCAAGGAAGGCCCTGCGGGGCCCAGGGGCGTACGCCAGTGCTGCCCAGCCAGGTGCTGCCAGGCCAGGAGCAGTGTCCCAGATATCAGGAGAGGGCTCCCACCCTCCTGGCTGCATGACCTTGGGCACTGCACGTGACCTCACTGCTGTTCAGGGGCAGCAGCTACTCTGGCTCTCAGCAGAGGGACATAGGGGCCACAGGCTGCCCCCCATCTCTGCATTAGCTGCCACCTTGTGAGAGCTCTGGTCATTCTGGAAAACAGCCTGGGACCTGTGGACTTGGAGGTCAGGACCTCAGGCCTGGCTCTGCCCTATGTCCCCTCAGGAAGACCCCAAGAGGCAGGTGGGCAGGTGGCACAGCCTTTGGCCAAGGGTCACCCTGGGCCCAGCGGGCCACCCTCCAGGCCCCTTCCTAGAGCCCTCACGTCCTGTGGGACGGGAATGACATCCAGGCGTGTCACTTCCACAACGGCACCCGCCGCAGGAGTTATTTTTATAGGAGGAAAGACCACAGCCCTTCCTGAGCCGCCTGAGCCACACAGCCCCAAGGGGAATCAGTTCAGCTCACTACGCTTGGGATGGGGAAATTGAGTCTGGAAGCAGACAGCTGTGCGATCCAGCCCCATGTGCGCAGGGCAGGTGCACAGCGGGCCTTGCGTCCCAGCCACAGTCCCCTCCAGGTGGCTCAGGCAGGCTGTGATGTCTTGGGTCACCCGCCAGGGAGCACATGGTGAGCGCAGCACTCAGGCCTCTTGGTCCTGACAGCTCTCTCAGGGTGACCACAGCAGGCCCCCAGGCCCCCATCCCCAGCACCCCCGGCAGGAAGGCCTGGCCATCTCTGCAGCATCCAGCTGGGGGGCTGAAACCCGAGGCAGAGGTGGCTGGGCCTCGCCCACGAGGCCGGGAGGGTGCTGAGGCGTACCTCCTCCCCAGGCCTTTGTACCAACACTGCCACCCAGCTCGGTCCTGCCGGAGGGGCTCCTCTCCCACCCCTACATCCTAGATGAGGACACAAGGCGAGGACGCTGTACAGTCAAAGCAGTGTACTGTCTATGGCAAGGACGGTGCAGTGCCCGAGACAAGGACGTAGTGCGCAGTGGCACGGACCACGTCTGTGGAGTGACTCCCATGCTCTTGGAGTCCAGTGCCCACGTCCGGACACGGTCACGGGGAAGGGCTCTGGCCCTACTCTCCTGTCGCACCTGGCTGGACCTGGCTTCCAGGTCCAGCCAGCCAGTGGCCCATCCTGCACTGGGCTCCCGCCTGGCCTGGAGACCCCCACAGCTCATCCAAAGGTCAGCGTGTGCAGCTGACCCGGCAGTGAGCACCAACCTGGCTCCTCCCCTCCAGCCAGGCCACTCCCAGCCCCACCTAGGATAATGGGTCCCGGGTTGCTGAGGGGCTCAGTCCCACAGCAGCAGCGCCACCTGGTCACACTGACTGTGCTCACTCAGGCCCTCCCCACCTTGCCCCAACCAACCCGTAGCACCCCCAGAGCAGCCCAGCTCCCCATGCCCACAGCCTACCTGCTGGGGCTGGGGTGCTCCTGGCCTCTCTCTCCCCTCCCTGAGCCCAAGCCTTATGCCACTGTATGCCACAGGCCCCCACCGTCTGTGGCCCGGGCCCCAGTACCCCATCCACCCCTTGCCTCAGGCCCTTCCCCTCCTGGGCCTGCTTCTCCTTTCCCCTCCTACCTCAGCCCCACCAGGGCCGCTGTTCACCGGCTCATGCTAGAAAGCTTGGGGTCTCTCTCGACCCTACTCACTTCCTCCCAAGCCCACATTCAGCCCATCCCTGCATCCTTGCCCCCCAGATGTCTGCAGGATGGGCTCACCCCCACGGCTCCCGGCCCTGTGCCCGGCTCAGCCTGCCCTTCACAGTCCTAGGGGTTATTCCCACAGGCTGTGTGGTCCCCGCTCCACAGGCCCACAGGCCTCCCCATCCCTCACCTCCAGCTCTGCCTCAGTGTGCAATAATCCTCACAGGGCTCCCCTTTCCTCGGGCCCCCACCCTCGGCGGGGCTATCTGCCAGATAGCGCCCCCACCCCTGCCCCTTGGGGCTGCCAGTATTCCGCCTCCCCCGCAACGGCTGTGGGTGGCCACCTCCCGCTCTCTGCACTGGCCTCCCCGGGTGCACGTCCAGGAGGCCCTGCAGGTCACCAGCAACTGCTGGCTGAATGGCAACAAGCAGAGGAGGGGCTGCCGAGCGCTCACCTGCACTCCCCGGGCACGGCACATCCCCCGTGGAGCAGGTTACAGCCTTGTCTGCACATGGCTGCGGACAGAGGGCAAGAGAGGCCCTGCTGCGGCGGCCGCCCAGGCCGCCCCCCCCACAGGCCCCCGCCCCGGCCCGGCCACGCCCCTTCCCCGCCCCCACCACGCCCCCACCCATGCAGCCCTCACCATCCTTGCATTCCTGGCCCATCCAGCCGTCCAGGCAGGCCTTGTTGCCATACTGGTCACAGGTGTAATGCCCAAAGAAGTCGTCACGGGGCCGGCAGAACTTGTTGCACGTGGTGCTGTAGTAGTTCTCATCGCAGCGCACGCGGATCTGCAGCTCCAGGTGTGCCACATGGCCACTGAAGTGCAGGCTCTTCCAGCGGTCCTCAGGGTTGATCATGCCCGCATGTGACACCCGCTCAATCAGCAGCTCCTCTGGGGGCAGAGTCGGACGCTCTCACCCACTGTCCCCAAGAAGGTGACCAAGGAAACCGACCTAGCCAGGAGGCCTCAGGGGCTCGAGGACAGTATGGCAGGGGAGGCAGCAGGGACCCTGGTCACTGGTCAGGCCCCCACAGAAGGGCTGGGCCCAGCAACACCCACCTGGCCCTGGCCCTGGCCCACTTCCGCCTGCAAGCCCCAAGTTCTCCTGACACCCCACTCCAACACCAATGGACCCACTGGGCACTGAGTCCACCCCGCACAGGGGATGTCACTCAGCCACCCTCACTTCACTCTTGCACAAAACCCGATCGGCCAGACATGCACAGCTCAGCCAACCCCAGCAGGCATCTCTGGGGCCGGGAACACCTGAGCAGTAAGGGCACAGAAGCTCTCTGTCCAAGCCTTCCAGGATGAGAGCAAAGAACCATGAAGACCCCTGCATCCTGCTGCCTCCAGCCAAGGGCTGGCATGGGCGGTCTCCTGGGATGGATGGTCCCTGGGGTGCCCCCCTCAGCAAGGCCCCACATCTCTGTCGAGGCCCCATTGCCCTTGCTCTGGCTTCGACCCCCCACACACTGAGCCATGGGTTTCCCTATGGTATCCCCAGGACTGCCACTGGTTAGGCCGGAGGCTCAGCCAGACTTGGCACCCAACTGCCCACAGTGCTCCCAGTATCTCTCTCACCTGCAGCCACACTGCCCCTGACCACATCCTCCATCCCTCAGCCAGCCTCAGCCCTGGCCCCTACAGCCCCACAGGCTGCTTCCATACCGCAGCTGAGAGGCGGGGTCCTCACAAGGCCCACAAGGCTCTTTGGTCTGAGCCCAGCCTCGCTGACCACCCCATCCTCCCACCTACAGCTCTGCAGACACCAGCCACCGTCTTCCTTGGGGCCTGCATGGCCTCCCCACCTTCACAGGACCCCCCGCCTCAGGAGGCAGCCATCAGGCCCCTCCTTCCAGGACAGACAGGCAGAGAGGAGCCATGCAGCCGGAGCCACATGAGGGCTCCACACTGCCCACATGGTCCAAAGAACACACACAGCAGAGCCTGCTGTGTGGAGATCAGGGTCTGCAAGACTACAAACATGGAAAAGCCTCCTAGGCTGGGGATTTAGCTCAGTGGTCCCACCGCCTGCCTCACAAGAGCAAGGTCCTGAGTTCAATCCCCGGTGCCAAAAAAAAGAAAAAAAAAGGAGAAGAAGAAAAAAGAAAAGCCTTCTAGCAGACACGATAAAAAGAGAAACCACCCACATTCTCTAGGTACATGAAGTTTTTGGCCACAGGAGCCTTTATCTCCTCCAGACAAAGGATGAGGAACCTGGCCACAGGTATCTCTGTGGCCTGAGAAGGCCCCACAGACAGCTGTCGCCCCCCTGCCAGCCAGGGCCTACTCACCATCTAAGGTGGTCTCGTTGTCCCAGTCCCAAGCCTCCACGATGAGGGTAAAGGAACGCTGTGGACAGAGGAGGGTGGTCAGGCACCTGGGACCCTCCCCCACCAGAGCCCAGGATGGAGAGAGATCCCCTAGGACTGGGCCTTATGCCAGCCTGGAGGGCAGGCAGCCACAGGGGCAGGGCAGCAGGCACCTGCTAGAGTGGCACAGGAGGCCGGGACACCTCCAGCCCCACTGGGGTCTGACATGGCAGGAGCCCCCACGGTCCCTCCATAGCCCCGAGAGGGACAGCACCATGGTCACCCTCACTGTCTCCCCTGGGCACATGGGGTACCCCCTGAGAGGCCCTGCCAGGTCAAGCTCGGGGGGTCCCCCACGGCAGGGTACAGTAACCCAACACCTCTCCCCAAGGCAGGGCAGGACAAGTCAGAAGACCTTTGCTGCACAGGTAGGAAACTGAGGCCCACAAACCCCTGGCCCTGCCTGGCACAGCCTCGGTCTATGGTCACTGCTGTACCGCACCATCTGTCCCTCCTGCCCCCAGTTGCAGTGATGCAGGATAACCTGAGTGGCTTATGGCAGTGCCCAGTGCCTGTCCTCAGGCACATGCAGAGCTGCCCACAATGGTCTGCAGCCCTACACATGCCGCTCAGCGCTGTGAACATGGCCTGGCTCCACAGGCCTGCTGGCTTCCCACCCAAGGAGACTCCCTGTGGGGAACACCCAGGCTCCTGCAGCCCACTGTGCTGGGGAAACCACATGTCCTCGCCGAGGCTGAGGGTCCCTACCTGCCCATCGCCACTGCCCCTGTACCTGCCCACGGACCAAGCTCCGAGCCTGCCATGCCCCCTCCTCCTTCCCCAGCCCAGCTCAGGATGGGCCCTGGCCCTCCCAGCCTCCCAGCCCAACCATGCTCAGCCTCTGGACACCCAGCTTGGTCTCAAGGACAGCACCCCAGATGTAACCACAAGACACTGTGTCCCCTCCTGAGCAGCCGTGGACATGGAGCCACACTCACTGGAAGCAGGGCTGGAAGCACCCCCGGTCCCACCTTGTGGGGCTTACCCTCCAACCCAGACCCGCAAGCCTTCCACCAGCATCCCACAGCGGCTCTCTCCAAGGCTCTCAGGACGAGGACCACTGGGAGGGCAAGGGTGTGGGGCAGGACTCGGTACAGCTGGCGCCAGACCCCAGCAGACAGCGTTCCCGGCACTCAGCAAAACAGGGGCTGCTGGGGCTGGAGTCAGGTCTGAGACCCATGGGCCGAACGATCACTCGAGCCCCTGCACAGGCCAAGCTGGTAGCCCGAGACCAGAGCTGCAGGGTATGTCAGTGGCCACAGGCCTGCCTCCTGATCGCCGCCTGGCCACACCTGGGCTTCAGGACGCGCAGGAGCTCCTCTTGGCTCCCAGGAAACCCACTCCAGGCACCCAGGTAGAGTTACCGTCACCCCCACTGAGCTGGGCTCTGGTTACCTGCTCCCGCGAGGACATGCGCCTGCCTGCCGCCCAAGAGGGCCCCACCGCCTGCCAGCTGGGCTCCCTACACCTGGATGGCAGGAAGTCACCTGGGTAGAACCTGAGCCGGCAGGTGGGCAGCACCTGCGCCCCCTGCAGTGCCCTCCTGTGCCGGCCACCCGCCAGCACCCAGGGCCACCCTTTGCAGGTGACACCCAGACCCTGTGCTTCCAACCTACCAGGCCGCAGCCTGGGACAAGGCTTTTTCAACCCCCAATCCTACCAGACCAAAAAGGACCCTAGGCAAAAGGAAAAGTGTCCTGCTGTATTCTACTACAGGGACTGGGACCAGCAGAAGCAATGGAGGCTGGGCAGGGGACTGAGGATGGTCAAAGAGCTGCCACCTGCCCAGACTTCCAGCTGGCAAGGGGACTCAGGGTGCCTGCCTGCCCGGGCATCGGAGACCCACCCTCGCCCACAACTCCCCGCCCACCTCCACCACACCCCTCTCTCTCTGCCTCAAGGATAAGCCCTGACCCCCCGACCCCATCTGTCCCCCAAACAAGGTTAACAGGCACCAGACCAAAGCCATGGGAAAGGAAGAGGTGGGCACCCCAGGCCAACGCCCCAGGCCCAGGGTCTGCCTGTCGAAAACCCTCAGCGTCCTAACCTGGGCCCCCATGGAGCCAGGGGCCAGTGCTGGTGCCGGTGCCGATGCCGATGCCAGAAGCCCTAAGCACAGACATATTTCCTGAAACCTGAGCTCTGGAGAGATCCAGGGCTCTGCCACCACCCTTACCCCGGGAAGAAGGCGAGGGAGTGGCCCAGGCCCCAAGGCCATGGCAGGAGCGGCCCACCCCAGAGACCAGTGAGGGCCCTGCTCCACCCTAGTCTCCCACTCTGAAGGGAGGCAGTGGGCTCCAGTCCCTCCCACAGTCACTTCGGATCACAGGAGGCCAAGATCCAGCCTCAAGTCCATGCATGGGCACAGGGACCAGCTCAGGCTGGGGCTGGGGACAGGGAGAGGGTCTGGGAGTCCAAGGAGTGGGTGCTGTCTGGAGCCTCACCCCTCAGGACCTCTCATTGGCCCCAACTCTGCCCCTACTCTGTCTAGACAGCAGCTGGCAGCTGCTAGAAGTGTGTGCCACCCAAGGAACCCTAGAAGCCATGGTTCCTTCCCAACCTACCCTGCTGCACGCCCTCCCTGAGTCCCTTCCCATGCCACCCCCACCCCAGGGCCCAGGGATGTGGCCCTCGGCCACTTCCAAACCCTCCACTGCCCAGGGCAGCCCTCCTCACCTCCTGCGCCCTTTGGGATGCCAAAGCCCCGGACAAGACTCCCAACCTCTATGGCAGTCAGCCAGGTACAGGGCAGAGCCCACATAAGCAGCACCACCCACAGAGGTCCCATCTGAGGAGGTGTGAGCAGTGCTGATGCAGTGGCCTTGCTTCAGAAGGGTCCCTGAAGATGGACGAGGGGTTGAAGGGGATCACCACCCAAACCAGCCCGTCCCAGGCAGGACACAGGGCTGGGATAGTCTCAGGAGGCCAGACCTTCGTGCCAGATGGGTACAATGGGCCAGGATTTGTGTCCACATCCCCACCCTGCACCTGGTCCCTGACCAGCCAGGGTAAGTTACACCTGCCCTCCCCTAAATACGGCATGGCCCTCAGGGACTCTAACCTCTTCTGCTAGGTAGCCAGGGGGGCTCCAGTAGACCCCAAACTGGGTGCCCTGCAGTTCCACCTGACTTCACAAGGCCCCAGGGAAAAGCTCCACCCTGCCCAGCTCAGGCAAGGAAAGCAGACCCTGCTGGCCACAGACGGAGCATCAGAGAAGGATCAGCCTGGCCCATCTGGCCATCCACAGGGCCTTGCCCGCTTCTGTTCTTTCCACACTCCATACCCACCATGGGGCCTTCCCTGTATCACACCACCCAGCACAGCTGCTCCTCTGGCATCAACATACCATGCTCAGGACAGGTCTGCCCCTAAGAGCCTCATCCTGGGCAGGGCTCTGGGCCAAGCAGGTGGGCTGCCAGGCAGGGACAGCCTCAGAAGGGGCATGGCAGCTCTTCTCCGTGCAGCCACTACAGGACAGAGTCTTGGGCTGCCATGACACCTCAATTTCAACCACCCTGCTCCCCACTCAGCCAGTAGTGCCCTGAACCAAGGAAAAGCTTCAGTCCCTTCCAAGTGGCCCATCAGCCACTGCCCACACCCACACACTACTGACACATGTGAACAAACGTGGGCTCCACCCTGGCAGGCATAGCCAGGCATCAGTGACAGCCCAGGGTGACACAGACCTCCTGGGAAACAGGTAAGGCAGAGCTAAGAGAGGAGGACAGCCCCCACTGGTGGGGAGCACACTGGGTGCCACAACCCTCCACATTCAAGACCTGGGCCCACCCACTCAGGGAGGCTGAGCCCATGGCATACACAGGGCATGTGCAGAGCCCAGCCAGTGCCTGGTCTGCATCCACACCTGCCCTTCTTTCCCTTTCACAAGGCCCCCCTCAAGCCTCTGGAGCCCGAGCCCTAGCTGGCCTTAGAGAGGACTATGCCATTTCTGCAAAAGCCCCTACCTCCGTGTCCAGAAGCCTACACTCAATTCTTTGTCCAGGTGGAGCCACTGCCCCAGTGGGCACCTGGATTCCACACATGCTCCAGCTCATGGGACAGAGCCGGACTTGCGGCAAGCTGGAGCAGCACGGCTCGCGGCTGCCATCGACTGAGCGGAAATACCAGGGTGCTGGCATCATGGCACCAGCTCTGGGCTGGCAGCTGGGCCACATGGCAGAAGAGAAGGGAAACGGGAGTGCCCGCCACCGCTGGGCAGGTGTCTGCTCCTGCCTGGCTGCCTGAGAGAACCAGCCATGAACAAGGGGAAGGAGGGCAAGCTGGGCTGAAGTGTGGGGTCTGGGTTCCGGGGAAGGCGAGGGCTTGCCTCATCAGGCTCCACAGTGGCCAGCCGGCCGGCAGGGCAGAGAGCCACAGGGACACGCGTTGGCCCGCCACATTCCTCCAGGCCTCCCTGCCCCCACACCCACGGCTGCCAACTCGAGCAGAAAACACATCCTCAGGTAGCGATTTGGAGCCGCGCTGGCTGGGGCCCAAGTGCAGATGACAGGCTGTGGGCCCTGCTCAGACCTGCCTGCTGCGCACTGTGGGGGCGAGGGGCTGGGCTGATCCTAACTGCCCGGGGCCCCTCCCCTGTCTACCCCTGCCGTCTCCATCCCAGGGCGTGTTTCCCACCCCCTGGCCCTGGGGCTCAAGAGATACTGAGCCCGGAGATCAGTGGGGGGACGGGATGACCAGAGGGGCCTGGCGGGGCTCAGAGGGCACAGCCTAGAGCCAGGCGCCAAGGCAGGGTGAGGGAGGCCCTGCAGGTCCAACCTTGATCAGCCCTGACCCGAGTGCCCAGTCTCTTCCAGGACGAAGATACCAGGTGGACTCATTCCTGCGTCTTGGGGCCACGGTCAGAATGCTCTTGGGTTGTCTGGCACCCTGCTCCATCTACTCCCAAATCAGAGGCACACCCTAACCCTAACCCTAACCCTAACCTGCAGCGTCACACTGAGGACCTCCACAACAGACCCTCTCATTCCTGCCCCCAAATGGTGACCATGCATGTCACCCTCGGTGTCCACGTATGTAAGGACCCTCCAGTGCCACGACCAAAAAGTGGACAAAGTTAAGCATCACAAGGCTCCTTGTCCAGGCCCAGGGGACCCACTCACATGAGGCCTGCCTGTCTCAGGTGCTGGACACACTCCCCCACACATATACACTCAAGCAGGCCCAAACCTCCAGCTCCTGGCTGACCAGCCCTTCCCAAAAGAGATGCCCCATAGCTCTCCCTTGGCCTCTGAAATACAACAAAACCAAGACGGCGGCGCTACTACCTCTTCTCCTGCAGGGCAGGAGCTTCGGCCAACACTCGACACAGCCGGGTCCCAGGAGCCTGCCCGTGCCCCTGGGCATCCAGGAAACTGCGGGGCGGGCGAGGCTGGCCACCGGCCCAGGGCGGCTCCGCTGAGGCCTGCCCCAGACCGGCCCCAGCACGCGCAGCGCACATGCCTCTGCCGCCCGCCGACCCCAGGTGCCTCACGCCTCTCCGCCCAGACAGACACGCGCTGAGCGGTGTAGGCACACGCCGAGACCCCGCGCCCGCATCGGCCGCCCCGCGCCCACGTGGCCGGGCACGGACCAGCCCGCAGAGCATGCCCCCGGAGGGCTCAAGGCCCGCGCAGGTGTCGGAGGGGCCGCGGGGGAGGGACACACGTACCGGCCAGGCAAACTGGAAGGGGATGACGACGAGGCCTGGGTCACGGTCGGCGCTGGTCCGCGCCCGTGCGCGCACTCGATCCCCCGCAGCGCCCGCCGGCGGCAGGTAGAAGGAGTTGCCGCCCAGCACGGGCGTGGTGCCGTGGCCGTAGCTGCAGGGCCCCGTGGGCGTCACCTTGGCCTGGTATTCTTTGAGGCACACGCGCACGTACGTGTCGCACTCGTCGCGGCCGCAGCCTCCCGCGCGCGCCGTCCGGCCGTCGCCGTCACAGCAGGCGCCGCTCAGCAGCTCCCCATTCGCGTTCCGCAGCGCGCTCAGCCGCAGCTCGAAATAGCCCATGGGCCGCGCCGCCTAAAAATAAGGCGCGGGAGAGCCGAAGGAGGCGCGGGCCGGGGTCCGGAAGCCTCGCCGGCCGGCCCCTCCTCATCCGAGGGCCCGGGCCGCGGAGTCCCGGGGGGCGACCGGTGCGCCCCGTCCGCGACCCCCTCCGAGCCGCACGCGCGCCCTGCTCACCTGCACGCACAGTGCCAGCAACAGCAGCAGCCGCCGAGGCAGGCGACCCTGGCCCCGCGCCTGCATCGCCACCGCG